CCTCATTCTTGGGGTCACTCATTCCAATACTGTTTCTGTCATTCTTGATTTCAATGTCTATTTTACATGATTTTTTACTGTAAGTGGGCACTTATCTGATGACCAAATTTGGTCATGACCAATATCCACGGTCCTTCCTTCATATCTCCTACTATCTCCTAGCTTGTGCTTTCTTACACTGTAGCTCCAACAATGCCATCCTCCCACCAAAGCCTCCAATCCATTGGTCACACCACTTACGAACTGTTCCTCATTCTTATCTAGCTTGAATTCTGTGCTCAGTCCTTACAATTGCTCCCTTTCATACACCTTCAACTTTCTTCCCGTCTCCTGTTTTGATGAGCCTCAGCAAAGCAAAACCCTGGTTAAATACAGTTTAGATGTTACCCCAGACCCTCAAACAAGCTCCCACCTCCTAGCCTTTGTCTCTGCGATCTGCTTTTGCTTCTGTTCCTTAAAGCTAATAACTCTACTTAAGGGCTGTATTTCATTCTTAGGGAGAACTTTCATTTTTTCTGACTCTTGCATTATCATTTCCCCTTTCAAATAGAGCTCTCCCCATAGTATACTAATGTCATTGCTGCCTCCCGTCATACACCTTCTGACCCCATTCTCTCTAGCTGCCTGTTTAAGTGTTCCACTTCAGAGCACCCTGTCCATCTCCAGTTTCTCACCAAGCTTTCTTGAACTTGTTCCAATTAGGCAATTGATCTCTCCTATATTGAAACTGTCCTTGTGAAGGGCATTGGTGATCTCATGTTGTCAAAACCAGAAAACAGTTCTCTGTTCTCCTCTTGGCCCATAAGCAGCATTGAGCTCAGTTGATTGTTCCCCTGGTGCAATGTAGTTGACCTCTGAACAACATGAACTGGGGCACTAAACTGCCCACCACTAGCTTTGGACTCCCCCCAGAATTTAACTACTGATAGCCTACTATTGACCTTACTGATAACATATTAACACATTTATATGTAATGTATATAATGAAATATATGTGAGAACTGTTAGAGGTCACTTTTTTATTGGTGCATAATAATTACACAGAATAATGAATTTCATTGTAGCATATTCACACATGCACATAACAAAATTTGATCAGTTTCATTCCTATATCTCCCTACTTCCCTGCTCACAGGAGATAATTTAAGCATCTCAGTGTTTTAATACAACCAGAGGTGGCTACAAAATTATTACAGTAGCACAATATGTTCTACAGTTCATTTTATGCCATTATGAATGACTTAATGCAGCATCTTTACATCTGTCTACGTTTCTCTCAGCTTATTAGTAGCATGTACAGTTTGTGCTTGTGCATGTGTGAGTTTTGATAATTTTAACTTTTTATAATACATATTTCTATATTTTATGGCAATAAATGATTTAAGACAGACCACTATCTGTAATCATGTTATGCATTTCTGACATCCTAAGTTTTTTTTCCCCCCCATATTTCCAGACTATGCAATTCATCTGGGAGTTTTTTCAAATTGGGGCAAATCTCAAAAAATAAATTCTCAATCATGTAAGAGGGCATAATGTGGATGTGCTCAAACTCCATTGTAGGAAGTCTGCTCTCTGTGGCTCACTTCTATGCTGATTGCTCCATTTTTATAGCTCAGTTTCAGGGTTTTCTCTTTTATTCAATTGATATTTTTTTCTGAGCCAATGCTCACTCTTAATGTCTACATTTAATTATCTCCCTTAAAAATGGTGTTACAGAGGTTTTACTTTACTCAAGTTCTGTGCCAGAGGCCTGACTCTGGAGATCCCAACAGACTAGATTTGGCCACTTGCCCTATAAGAAAGCATGACGGAAAAATTGATGGTAGGAAAGGAATTTATTCTCACTGCAGCCACATTGGTGTTAATAACCAATACTAACAGACCAAACACATTTGTGTCTTTCCACAATGTCAGAATGTATTGAATAGCAATGATTTCACAAGCTACACCATGATCGTTGGTCACTATTCACCAAGCTACACCATGATCGTTGGTCACTATTCACCAAGTATTCATGGGTGATCTGATAGACGTAAACTGGAAAATCTCAAGTTCTTTTCTTCCATTGCAATCTTAAATTCTATTAACACTCAGATCACACATGCTTTACACAATGGTATATCTGGGTTAAGGTGGCCTCAGGTTTACAAGATGTTGTGCCAAGAACAAGAGGTGATTAGATAAGAGTTTAAACCAGCCAGCTCTGCAGAGTTGCCATGGCGAAGGTTCAGACATAGCAGTTTCAGAGTATGAGCTTAGGTGTCAGTTTGGAGCAGGCTATGCATGTCGTCATGGACAGAAGTGAGCCGAAGCCAGGCGACAGGTCACTGGAGGTTTTTCGATGTGGTGATTTTCCTGGGCAAGGGTCATGAGGAGTGACCAGATGATGGGGTCACAGTGCTACCATGTCCATCTTGCAGGGGTAGTCCTCGTTTTTATGGGTTGTAAATGAGGGGTTTATGTTGGGGAGATTTATAAGTTCCTGTGTCTGGTGTTTCTGATGTGGGACTGCCATGTGTCCAGGTGCTCTTGATTTAGTTTGATAAGTTGGCCCAAAAAAGTTATTTATCAATTTGTGCCTTATGGTTGTTCTTGGAAAGATGATGACTGTTTATTTGAATTAACAAAGTATAGAGTCATTGTACCATGGCATTTGTTCTAAAAATGGAGTCACTTTTGGCAAACTACTGCTTTACAAAATACAATAACTTAGACACTGGCATAGCCTGAAACTCTCTTCTCAGTTTAGGGCACAGCCTTCTGTCCACAACTGGGAAGACAGAGCTAAGAACTGTCTTGGTGGCTCCGCAGTTTCCTTGAGTTTATTCCTGGAAGGACAAGATGAAAGTTGAATGGGCTTGCATAGCTAGAGATTCTAGTCAGGTGGAAATCTGGGTGGACATTGTCCTGGGCCTGGTCACAGTCTTTTGGACACCAAGGAAGTGTTGCAGGATATTTATCTTTCAGACCTATGGATCCTTGAATTAAACTGAGGGAAAGATCAACTTAGAAAGGGGCAGGCCACGGAAAGACAGAGTGGAGTGAAGTATGTTGATAATTGGATCCTCCTGCAATGGAGTTGTTATCAGAATGAATATATTGAGAAATACTTTGTCTAAATTCCCCAGGATTTCCTTTGGACTTTTGAACATATATAAATCAGTATGTGGAGAATGTTTATGTTAAACAATATTGAATCTTTTTATCCAGGATTATGGTATGTCTCCTCTTACTGGTCTTTTTTTTTTTTCTTTTTGGGGAGGGCACTGTGGATTGAACCCAAGAATGCTCCACCACTGAGTTATACCTCCAGCCCTTTTTATTTTTTATTTTTCGACAAGGTGTCACTAAGTTGCTGAGGCTGGCCTTAAACTTGCTATTCTCCTGTCTCAGCCTCCCAAGTAGCTAGGATTGCAGGTGTGTACCATCGTTGGCACTTTTTGAAGTTTTAAAAGCCTCCTCTTTGAGGTGCTGTAATTTGTGTTGTTTATTTCTCATATTTATTGTTGTTATTATCCTCGATAACCCTTGGTTCCATTCACATCTCTTTTTACATTTACCAGGGATTCCACTGCTCATAATGGCAAGTATTACTGGTATTAGCCGACGTCCTTTTCTTGTTAGTAACTATAAATATAGGAAATATTATAATGGTTCATTATTAAGAGTAATCGCTGTTAGTTTAAGATAGATATTTTAATTATTTTACTAAAAGCTTTTTTCCTTAGTCTAGCATCTGTGTTAGATTTTATCAAATGCTTTTTGAGCATCTACTGAGTTAGCAATTTTGCTATTATCTGTCTTGTGTAATGAATTACATAAGAGTTATTGTTGCACCAGATAGATTGTCTAATATTCAACCATCCTCAATCACATTCTTTGAGTAAATCAACTTGGTTTTAAAATCTGCTATTTTGTTTTTGGTTCTGTATTAGTCAGCTTAGGTGGGCTATAAGTAATCAAATCCGAAGCCTTGGTGGAATATCACAATGAAATCTATTTCTCACTTGCGTGAAGTCTAATATCAGCAGCTGACCCTTCTCATTAGTCTTAAGATTATGCCATCTGGAACACAAGGACTCACAAACCCACCCGAAAAGGGAGAGAGGGCAAGGAAAGACTCCCTTGCTGTAACTCCCTCAAGTATAGAATGACACATTATTGACACATTTCAATGCTAAAGTTGGTGACACAGTCCTGAACAAATGCAAGAGAATCTGGAAAACAGCCTTCCATCATGCCCAGGAGCATGGTGAGCACATCATTGTCTCTACAGATTTTTGGGTCCTTCTTCGATTAGCCTTTCTGTCTCGGGGTGCTTCAGTAGGAAGCCAGTGTGTATTTCACAATCTCCTGAGACATTGTTTGGGGCTTAATTTCTGCCGATGTATTTTGTATCTGCATCTTCATGATACTCTTTCCTTACCTTCCTCTGCAGAACATTAAACACTCCTCTTAACTCTTGTTAAGAGAGAAGATACACTCAGAATCAGTTATTTTAACATTTTGAGTGTTTATATTGTTAGGCCTTTCTTTTTGTCTATTAGTATCAAATTCATTTTTACAATTACAGTGTGGCTAAGCTCCCAGACCTATACCTTTTCCCAATACTCTTCCACTGATGCTTTCCTCTGAACAGTATCTTTCCTTATTGGATTGCCTAAGTCAATTGATTATTCTAAATCAATGTAGTATGAGAAAAATTTTGATTCCACTATGCGCTGCTCTCTACCTCCCAGAAGGAAGTGTATCATATGCTTCCCTTCCAGATGTTTTCTATGCTCTAACAGATGTGTAAAGGTGGTTGGCAATCTCAAAAAGCAGCCTGCATGACAAAGGTGCTAAATAGCACTGACTCTATGTGAGCCCATAGAAAATGGGTGAGTTACAAGGTATGTTACAACTAATTCCTTTCTTCCATGTAGTCTCTGTTTAAATTATTCCTAGCCATATAGATGGTGGTAAGGGGACACTATATAGATCTGTTACTGAGAATGGCAGATAAACTGATGCTGGAATCCAGGGAGATACAAATCTATATACATTCTCCTATAACTTTGTAGGTATTTTAGTAAAAAGTTGGGAAGTGCTACATCTGGAACAATCCTCTGGAGGCCACTCACCTTCTTAGCTCTTAAGGAATTAAATCCTGAACTTCACCAAACGACCCCTTTTCTGGGAGTAAAGGTGAACGCTAGTAAGCAACCAAAGGAAATTTTGAAAAGTTCTCAGCTGCCACCTCTTATGAAAGTTGTGAATTCTTATGTTTAAGTAGTATACTTAATAAGCAGGACTAAAAGTGTAATCAAAACAGCAAGTTTGTTTACTAGTTCCTCAGTGTGACTAGTTCTTCTGTGGCTTCTAGATTAAAAGTTAGGCAGGCTTCATTATTGCTCTGCCTTCTTTAAGTTACAGACAGTCCCAAGCTACCATTTAGAATGCTCAGTCCCAGACAATAAGCAAAACTTCCATTTCCTTTGTATTGAGCTACTCTATTCCCAGGGGAGAACTGAGGAGCCTGGTGACAGGTAGCAGGCCGGCACCTCTCGCTCCTTTTCCAGTCCTGGTCCCCTCACTTGCTAACGAAGCTTCAGACACCTCTAGAGTTGGAGTAGGAAGAAGAGAGGCAAAGGACAAAATTCTTCCTTGCCTGGTGCTGTCCTGGGAATGCTCCAGATTCTCTGAATCTGCCAGACAGTTAAAGATGATTTGTGTTCCTTTTTCTTCATGGATACTGATGGGGGTTTTTGCAGGAAGCTCACCTATTTTCCCTAAACAAAGACCTGGCTAATCCTTTGTTCCTTTCCCAGCTCCCAGGGTCCAGCTGCTTTTGCAAGAGTCCTGACTGCTCCTTGGAGTGTTCTGGATCCAACCCTGCAGAAGGTTCTCCTGTGTGGTCCATATTTCATCTCCAGAGACCATCCATCTTTGGCCCACAATCCCTGAGAATGCATCCCAGGCCTGACTGATGTGGTAGGCGCTCTGCTCACGCTCTCAGAGTGGTTAGTAGCCTTTCTGTGGACTTAAGTGTTTTGGGTGGTATTCAGAGTCCAGCAGACTGCATTCTTGAATTCCTCAGGTGGACCATTCACAGCATCTTTCTCGCATTGGGTCAGAGGAACTTGTCCCATAAAGTTCTTAATTTGTATTTAAAATAAGACCCCATTGAGAGCTAGAACTCAGAAATGCACTAACTTTTTACTTCATACTTTCTTGGGGCAGAGAGTTACACTGAGTATTATTTTTTAAAAAATTCATTATCAGAAAAGTTCCGAAATTATATTTCCTAGTAGTGCTTTTGGGGGAAAAAAATGCTCTCTGAACAGATTATGGGAACCAAATTTCTTTTTTTTTTCCACATTTTTTTATTAGTGCATTATAGTTGTACATAAGGATGGAAATTGTTTCACATAGTCCTATAGGTACACAATAGAGAAAAAAGATTCTTAATGGAAAATTCTAAAAGAAGATAAATGTCTAGTGTGGGGTATTGGGAGTCTGAAGAAAGTGTTTAAGGAGAAAACATCCAATTTAGAAAAAAGTGTGTAGAGCGGGGAATTAATCCTTCAGTGAGAATGTGGGTCCTCTTTTCAAAGGGGTGTTTTTCCAGTGAAGTGAGTGGGTATTTATTTCATGGGCAGGATTGGTGGGTCAGGGCTGCCACATCTCCTAACCTTAAGGCTTGGGAATTCTGCACCATCAGATTCTAGGAACCAGGCAGCAGCCAGAGTGAGCAATTTTTATACTAGCAGTGAAGTTTGCTCTCCCCAGGAGCAGGCAATCAGAATTCTTATTTATTGGGGTTTATGGAACTTTAGAAGAGGAAGTACAAAAATGACTCAGAATCCCCACATGAAAAAGAATATTGATTTGAGGGAGCATGAAATGCTAATATGCATCAGATCAAAGAGGCTGTACCTTAAAAAAACAACTGGCAGCACCAGCAGAGAATGGAAGCTGTGGCTCTTCTCCTCTGCCGAGAGTCTCTGATCTCCCCCCAGAGCCCCAGAACACCATTCACGAGGGTCCCGTGAGCCCACCTGGGCTCCGTTAAATCTGGCCTGTCTCTGTGCTCAGAGCAACTGAGCTTATCAAATTGCTCAGAAATAACTGAAAAATTAGCCACACCATCATATTGCCTACCCTGGACTGGGTCTGGCACATTGTTGACTCCCTAATTAATGTATGAAATAAAACTGGGCATTTTACAGAATTTATTTTCTTTACTTTATACAGATTCACTTACAGCCATTTCTGCTGGCTATTTTTGAAAATTCAGCCTTTTCCCATGATTCCAGAAGTGAGCCCAGTGCTAACTAGCCCAGTGCTAGTTGAGTTTAGTGGATCCTCTAGTGACTCTACACAGTGATTCACAGATGGTTATTTCTGATGAAGAAATCATCCATTGTTTCATGTTTGAAAAGTGGCTGTGCATTTTTTATTTCCATTCTGCAATATTTATGGAAAGGAGACGTATAACTAAAAGAGAATCCATCAAATGGAACTTAATGAAATGATTTATCATCTCCAAGATGGTCACTGAGGAAATCGATGGCTCCTGCATCTCATAGCTCTAAGACGAATTTCAGGGGCACAAACTTCTGCTGCCAATTAGGTGAGTTAATTCCCCCCAAATCTGTAATCTGGTGACTTTCTCTATGTGTCATGTAGGTCCCAGGGCCTTTCTCTATGGAATCTAATAATAATTGTAGACTGTTAGTCACTGACTCATTGCCCTAAGTTCAAAAAAGGCCTCAAGAGCAAACCTTTTATTTCCTGACCCATTGCAAAACTTTTCCATCATCGCTCAACCCTGTCCTTCAAAGTCTTCAGCGTGCAACAAGACAAGAGTTCTAAGAGGGCTTGGGGCCGGCTGGGTGGGTCAGGTCTGGTCCGCTTTCCTTCAGGATGCAGCCACAGCTGAGTCCTTAAGGCTCCCTGCCACAGCCTTGGTCTGGGCCAGCTTTCCCCTTTCACATGCATTGCTCAGACAGGTCCTTGCAGACAGCCATCTGTGTGTGGACGCTTGCCTTGCAAGAAAGTATCCCATGACTTTCACACTGCCTAAAGCGCATTTAAGAAAGTCGTTCTGATCCTCTTCACCTCCCAACCTGCCTCTATTCTAACATTTAATTGTCCCGTGAGGGTCCTGAGAGAGCAAAGGCCAAGAATCATGCCAAAAGATGTGAGAGTTCAGCTAAAACTTCGGACCCACGTGTCCTGGTTAAGATCTCCACTGCGTTTCCCCAAGACCAAGGCAGATGCTTCAGGCCAAGCTGTTGAAGTGTCACATTACAATATAAAAGAGTTCCTAATCTCAGGAACCCCATAGCCTGGTGAGGAGGGACAAAGACATGCAAATAAACAGCTACTAATATAATGTCAAGCTTAAGTATTCTAGCAGTGGCATGATTCAAGGCTAAGAAGCAAGGAGGGCTTGATTCTCCTGGAAAGGAATTGTGTTTTGAACTGGGTCTTGAAGGATGAATAGGAGTTCACCAGGCAATGACCCTGTGGTGATGGATATCGTCAGGGAAGGGTAGGAGTTGGGAGGACTTTCTTCCTCAGAAGCCCAGAGGTAGCAAGTGCAGTGTGCTCCAGGAGCTGCTGTACCTCCCAGGGCCCCTTGGAGAAGTACAAGTTCAGGATGATGTTTGGCAGATGAAACACTGAGAAACCTGAAATAAGATGCAAAATTTTGAATTTATTCTTATTTTTCTTGGAGTCTCTTGTAGGACTCTTATGCTCATCAGAGTCTTTCATCAATTTTACAAAGGGCTCTGTCACTCCCAAACAGGTTTAAACCTCTCAGTTTATTATGATACACTGTGAGTCCTGGCTTCCTTTGTGGGGACCAGGCACAGGAAACCTCCCTTTGATGTTGCACGACATGTGCTCAAAGAGACATCTGGAAGACAGAACTTTTATCTGACTCTTCTCAACCTTGCCTCAACCTCTCGGGCAATAAATCACCGATTGTCTGAGGAGGAAATGAAGAGGTAGCACCTATGGAGGCCCACACTTCTACACCAGCTCAAATGCAAACAGAACACGCGCAGAGGCAGGAGCTTTTGTGTCCACATACAGGAGAGTGTTATAGGCCAGTGGCGAGAGGAGAGAGGAGGCAGTGCTTGCCAGGTGACTAAGAGGGTCTCTTTCTCTCTAGAGGAAGATAAACAAGTGAGAGAGAAAGACATATGGGAAAAGTGAAGCTTCACTGACAGAGAGGAGGAAGAATAACCACACCCCATCTCAGACTGGCAGGGAAGAAGAATGTCATTACCAGGGGTGGGGGTGGGGTGGGGGGCCTCCCCAGTGCTCCATGTCTGAACAATTTTATCAGCAGGAAAGATGATAAAAATCTAGGTCACAATGCCTGCTTCAAGCCTCTGGGGCCGAATGTGTTTCAGAATTTTAAAACATTTTCATCACAGACTGGAAGTGAAAATGAAAGGAAAAATCATGATAAAAGCAGGCTTCAAGAGCTTCTGAAAATGGAGGGTATGGAGGAAGCAGTCACCAGCTGCTGCCTGCAAGGGTGCTTTGGTCACCTCCAGTCTGTTACTGGGGCTGTCTGGAAAGATCAAACTGACCAGATTGTGTGTGCCCAGAGGCCAACAGGCTCTCAGACTCTCAGCTGGCTCATGGACATTTCCATTTTGTTTATACATTCTTTGTCTTCTTTCAATCATTAGACACCATTTTGTTTGTTTGTTTTTGTTTTTTGGTACCAGGGATTGGACCCAGCAGCATTTAACCACTGAGCCACATCCCCAGCGCGCGCAGACACACACACACACACACACTTTTTAAAAAATTTTTATTTACTTAGAAACAGGGTCTCTCTGAGTTTCTTAGGGCCCTGCTTAGTTGCTGAGACTGGCTTTGAATTTGTGATCCTCTTGCCTCAACCTCTCAAGCAGCTGGGATTACAGGTGTGAGCCACAGCACCCAGCTAGACACTGTTCTTCCTCAACATTGCAATTGAAGTTTCCTACAAAGGGATTTTTACCATAAATCACTTTTCTACTTAAGCTTCCACTTTCTGTCTTCTTTGGAAAACCAATTCAGAACTCGCTGCACCGGTGTCTTCCAAATTACAATTCCCAAGACCCCAAATAAAGTCCTTTTTCCTTCTGCACTTTCTGGGTTTGGATTGATACACAAAGTGATTTCTTAGCTAAGACTTCTGGAACAGAATTCCACAAACTGGGGGGCTTACACAACTAATATCTACTTCTCACAGTTCTGCCAGTCAGTTCAACAGACATTGCACCAGCAGGGTTGGTTCCTAGGGAGGGCTCTCCTTGGTTGTAGAAGCTGATTTATTACTGTGTTCTCACACTGCAAGAAGCAGGCGAGCTAGTAGGCCTCTGATCCCTTCATGAGGGCTCTGATCTCATGACCTAAAGATGGTCTTCAAAATATGAATTTTGATGGGAACACATTCAGTTTGTTGTATCTATCTTGCATATGGGATAATACTGCCAATCTGGATCAGCTCTCTATGATCAAACTGATATTTCATCAAAATTCCCATTTGGACTGTTATGTAAATATTTATGCTAGTGGGAAAAATACTGTAAATACCCTGATTTAAATACTGTACATAAATTTAGGTTTTGCTATTCAATGAGTTATGAAAAACTCAAATCTTTTGAAAAACAGATTACAGATATATATTATATATACATAATCTGTGTATGCACATACATAGATTTGTGTATTTATATATAATTCAGATCTCTACAAACGAACAAAGTAAAACCATGCACACACCACCTATTAAAAAATCATTCAGGGCTTGAGTTGAAAGTCAGTAGTAGTGTTTACTCAGTGTGCACAAGGCTCTGGGTTTAATTCTCAACTCTATGAAACAAAGAAGCAAACTTTATAAAAATCATTCAGATATTGATGTCCAGAGTCAACTCAATTGAACAACTTTTAAAACATTGAGGACATGTGTTTCTTTCAGATGTCTCCTATTCCCTTTAGTGTCCAGTTCTTGAAATTTAATCATTGTTTCCACATTGAGCTAAAAGTTTTGGATACTCTGGAATAAAAGTAGCCTGAGAAAGATAAATGTGATATAATAAAATAAATATTTGATTTTTTTCCTGGTTTGTGGCACACAACTCCTGAAACCCATGCCATCTCCAGAGTGATGAGTGTCCCTTGGGAGCTGATGAGATGGCTGGTCCCTGAGCCCTAGATGACTTCAGGGTGGGGGCTGTTTGCCAGGAGCACCAAGGCCTGACCAGTAGGTGGAAACTTCCCCGGACCTCTGGGGCAGAAGGGGAGTTGGAGGTGGAGTTCGTGGCCAAGGATGTAGTCAATCATGCCTAAGTAATGCAGCACCTATTAAACCCCCAAATGACAGAGTGCCAGCAGCATTCACATGCCCCAGGGTGACACGTTCCTACCTCATGGGACAGGAGCTTCTGCACTGGGAACTCTTTCTGGCCTCAGCTTTGAACCACTTCATCTGGCTGTTCACCAGTAATGTTCTAATGCATCCTTTAGAATATTTTGGTACATAAATTGATAAATAAAAGTGCAGTCATTCCTCAGAATCTGTGGATGATTGATTCTGGGATCCCATAAATCTGCAGATGTTCACACAATTTTTCTTTTCAAATATTTTTGACATGTGCTTGGCTAAATGGAAAATTATATACTATTTCTAAGCCTCAGTTCATGTATCTAGCACCTATCACCAACCCATTATTTGTCTTTCTACAGCCCATTTTCTATCATTTATTATTAAGTGTCGTTTCTATTTGTCCGCCTGCCTCCTCATGGTGGACATGAACTTACTCAACGTCTACTTTCTCTTTCTTCCAGACATGAGGAGGGTTACACACACCTGTTCAGCCCATGAAATACTAGGAGAGTTGATGACTTGTGCCCCTTCCAACAGAAACATTTAAGAGCTGGTACCGACTTTCCCCCTTCCTCCTCCCTGCTTCTGTGACTGGCACCAGGGACGGGGAGGTCACAGGCAGCCAGGATCCCTGAGTGAAGGCCACCCACCATGAACTCCATGTCAACAACAGGTACACCGTCGCTAGGTTAAACCAATGAGGTTTTGCAACTGTTCCCTAACATGGTTTAACCTGATTAATACATTGTCTTGCCTTGTTCCAAAAATAATGTAAAGGAGTTTTAAAAGAGAAATAGAGCACAATAGGATAAAAAAGGAACCAAGCAAACAGAAAATACACAACAGAATGATAGACAGTATGTGCCCCTGTTGATGCACCAACTTCCTTTTTGTTTAGATTCTCCTATGTGCATTATCCTGTCCTTCCTACTCAGGTACCTCTTCCTTTCTGCTGGGTCAGAGAGAAATTCCTAGACCTACTTAGAATCACAACCCCATTTCCTCCACCCCACAATCACCATCAGCCTTGCTTATTTTTTCCTTATCACCATCTACCAGACTATATAATTTTAATCATTTGTTTTTTCTTCCCTGGAGTAGAATGGAGGCTGCTTTGAGGGCAGGGATCTTTATTTGCTGCTTTGTCTCTGGCACCCAGAACAATGCCTGCCATATGCAATCTGTGCTCCATACGTATTTTGAGTGACTTATGAAATAAGAAATTGTGTATTGGGAGGAGCATCCAAAATTCTTATTGCAGAACACTGAGATGGAGTAAACAGCCAGTTGCCTGGCCCCCTAAACTTGGGAGATTGAGATGTTCACACCCCATTGAGAAGCTAATTCTCCATGTACACTCCCCTTAAGCCTGATCTGCTCCTCCATACCTCTCTGGAATTTTCTCTCCTCTTCTCCCTTTTATGCATCTTAGTTTTGAGAGATACACCCAATGGGCCAGCTTCAACCACAATCATAATGAGAACCATCGAGAAATGGTGATTAGCAATTATTGAGCACTTAGGATTTATCTATAGTACTTGTTCCACTTTCAAGGTGGTGTATATTCCAGTCGGGATCTAATATGTATTTCAATAATCTTTGTGATCAGTCCTATTATTATCCTTATTTGAAAGGTAAGGAAATTGAAGCTTAAAGACACTGCATAATGTATCTAATTTTTAAGTGTTTTGATTATCAACTGCTATATAACAAACCACCCAAAATGCAGTGCTTTAAAGCAATTTGTTACTATTTATCATAGTTCTGTGGGTTGAATGGCTCAGCTGAATAGGTCTCTCTTGGAATCTCTCCTACCACAACTGCATATGGCAGCAGTTAGGTAGAGTCTGGCCTGGGTGTCCAAGATGGGCTTCACATGTGGGACATCAGACGAGATGGCCAGACACTTGGGAACTGACCAGCCTCATGTTCTTTCTGTATGTGGTTCTCCACATGGTTGGCTTGGGCCTCCCCACAGCATGGAGGTCCCAGGGCAGTCAGATTTCTTATGTGATGGTTGGCTTCTTGTGAGTTATCATTGTCCCTTCCCTTGCAGGTGGGGACCACAAAGAGCTCGGCTTCACATGAGAGGATATAAATATATTCTGGAAGGCCTGACTCATTAGGAGGGTGTTTTGGAGGCTCACTATCACTTTCAAGCCAGACATTCTGAATGCAGGCTTCGGGTCACAAACTCATATACATACTTGAAACAGGCAGGTGATAAGGTATGAGTAGGAAAGTTTAAAACAGGACCCACAGGCTGCCAGTTTGTGAGCACTGCTCTGGATCTCCAAGATAAAGCTCTGGCTCATCAGCATAGAACACAGGGGCCAGCAGGGGCTCTCCTACCTGACCACCCAGCCTCAGTTCTCAGGCCTGTTCACCAGGCATACATCTGGAAAGTATTTATTGGTTGTTCCTCTGTGCCACGAATGTTCTAGGTACTGGAGATATAGTAGAGAACAAAATAAAGTCTCTACCTCTGGGGATTGATATTCTAGTTGGGGGAAGCAATCTATAATGGAATAACTGTAGAAAATGTCAAAGCAGGCTGAGCCCCAGCGTGGCAGGTGGCAGGGCGTTCCCTGCTCTGCCATGCTCTTCTGTCTGCCTTGATTCTCCCTCTCCTTTCAGGGTAGCCGCCTCCTACCTGTCACTTGGGTCTTGACTTGAGTGTCACAACCTCTGAAATATCCTCTTGCCCCACCCCCTCCCCCCAGTGTGGAAGCTGTGCCCCTCCGTCTTGCTTTCCAGGTGTTTGTGCCTACTCTTTCCATGTGGACATACCTATGCTCTAAGTTCATGTCACGAGATAGCGAGTAACTCAAGGTCTTCTGCTTTTCCTTGTTTCCCGGGAATCATTGTTTATCAAAGGAAAATCCTCCGTTGGGAA